TTGCAAAAGAAAAAACAAGCAGCTGAAATAAAATTAAAATTAGAAGCAGGCTGGAGCAAGAAACTTCAAAAACAAAGAAAGTTTGACAAAAGCAAAATTATGAAATAGAATTAAGAACCCTAATTATAAATTTTAAAGTATTAGCTGAACTAGAGTTAGCAAAACATAAGAAAAAAAAAAGAAAGGCCAAAGAAAAAAAAGCTAGGAAATAAAAGACCAAAGGTTTTGCCAAAATAAAAACCCTAGACAAAATCTAAGAAAATTTAGAACTAAAGGCTGAAATAACAAATCTAACAAAATAGTTGATCAAAGTAATATATCAAATAAGCATTAAAGACTCATAGACTGATAGTAAAGTATGGAGGATGAAAGAAAAAGACTTACTTATAAAATAAATACAGTATTTGAAGGCCCAAAAAAATACTAATATGAAATGAATTCAAAATACATCAATATACAAGCAAAAAAAAGCCAAGAACTAGAAAAAGAAGAAAAAAGATATATTACTAAAGATATTAGAGAAGATCTTTGTAGAAAGCTTTAAAAACTGAAGTATATAGAATGAAATTCAAAAGATTTTTTGAGAAGAAAACCAAATCCTAGTAGAAAAAAGAAAAAGAAAAAGGTAAAGAAGAGGAAAAAAGAAGACCTATAAACCCAGACTACAAAAGAAAAAGAATCTGAGCAAACTGTCTAAGACTCGGAAGAAAAAAGACCAAAAAAAAGCCCAAGGTACTTTAAAAAAAAGAAAGTTTACAGAAAAATATATCTAGAAAAATTCAGTAAAATAAGCACTCAAGAAGTAGAAAAATACTACGATACTGAGAAGCAAGAAGAGAAGACTATTAAAAAGAATATAAGAAAACTCCTGAGAGTCAGGTCGCTTATTAGAAAAGATATAATAAACTAGAAGAGAGAAGGAGAAACATAAATATAAACAAAAGAATTTTGGCAATTTTTCTTTATTGAGAGATAAAATAGAATTACTTGTTAAAAAAAAATTAGATTTAGATTATTGCTTTAAAAAGGAGAATAGTTTAGTAAAGGAAAATTGTCAATTAGATATAGTCAAAAATTCTTTTGATTTGAAACTATCTTGCTATAGTTTTATTAGCTAGCTTAGTATAGCTCTCTGGTATGGGCAATAGCCTTAACTGGTAAGACAGATTGCACTTGGGCATCTTTAGAAAAAGCTGAGTAATGTCAGATCTATAACTTAGATATATTTTCTTTGATTTAATAAAGATACTGGTGAGGCTGATACTTCAAAAAAAAATAAAAAAATAAAAAATAATTACTATTATCTATTAAAATAGATTTAACTTTATCAAAAATTTTTTCTAATTCATCTATTTTTTCTTCTTTCTCTTCTAATTTTTCATCTTTCTTCTCTTCTAATTCTTCTTATTTCTCCTCTTCTAATTCTTCTTCTTCTTTCTCTTTTAATTCTTTTTCTTCCTTCTTTTTTAATTCCTCTTCTAATTTTTCTATCTTTTTTTCTAATTCTTCTTTTTTTTCTAATTCTTCTTCTTCTTTTAATTCTTCTTT